AGACAGCTCATAGGGAAAGCCGCGAATTCGGACCACGGTCGCACGCCGTTGCGGTTCCAGTGGCTGACACCCCCCGCCCTAGCGAGTGAGTAGAGTAGGACGGAGGTCAGTACCCTTGGGAGGGGGAGCCGAGGTGTGTTTATTACATTGGGATTGGGGTGCAGGGCGGAAGGGGGGTTAGTTATTTGTTGTTGTTGTTTTGTGTTTTTTACTTTTATTTGGTTTACGGTTTACTTGATCGGCAAGATTGATACTACCGTTTAGGGTACCCGGTGGAGGGGGTGGAGACCGGCTGACATATCGTGATTGTAATGATAATACCTCACAAGTGCTGACAACGTCCAAGGCCGAGTTAAAGTTGCGGCTCTGCGGAATCCGACTCGCCAAGGTCAGGGGGCATCCTTTGTACTTCAAGTTGTTTCAGGTCGACCTTGCATTCTGAAACAGGTCATCACCACCAACAGCACCAACGCCCCCGGTTGAGGCGCGGACCTTGGCATCGAACGGGCATGCTGACAATAACCTGCTGTGGCCTGCCCTAGCTTAGGTTATCTTTCGGCTTGAAACTGCTATCAGAGCATGACAAATCCCTTTCTCACATCAGGACATGGTTGAGAGGTGCGCTGCCCTGTTGATAAGGGGAAAGCAGCGTCATAGTGCCGCAAAGCCAAGAGGCATTTACGGTATCAAGACCGCGAAATGGGCATTCTGCTCGGCTGTTCGGCATGCAGGCTATGATATGCCAAGTATGATATAGATGGAGGAATTTCTTGGAAGCCTTGGGAGCTATAACGTTTATTTAAGTAGTGGTCCTCAATTCTAAACTTCCTGGCTTCGATTTACATATGAAACTACCTGCTTTGGTCGTCTCTCTGCTCGTACAGCATGACCGTTAAATTCGAATACTAATCAGATCTGCAAGTCAGACAAAGTACGGCTGGCGGCACAGGTCTTCATCAGGTACGCAAATGGTCCAAGTCGACATGGACTGCGCTCCCACCAGTCACCTCGACGCCAAACTGCAAACTGCTCAAGCATGATGGCAACATGGGTGCCGTTAATCTTGGAGAGCTGATGCTTCACAAGTAAGGGTATTCACACAGTTCAAGGTCTATAACCTTCACATTGGCTAATAGGAACTTTCAGATCAGTTTTCGGGAACCGCTAACGAGTGCATACAGCCAACTGGGTTAACACTAGGCCTGCAGCGAGGAAGGGTACCTCGGTAGGTAGGTAAGTACCTATTCACCCCACGGTGTGTCCAACACAAATAAAGCAAGATCCCTATTAACTAGCTGTAGCTGTCCCGGGCGGTCGTTCGCACTACGATCTCGTTCACTTAGGTCACATCGCTGTCGGTACTTTTCAACGGCAGTTGGAGGCGAGATCATGGTTGAGTTCAATGTCAGCTGCGTGGGGCCGAGGCGTAGCCAGCCGGACTCGGATCTTTAAACATCTCACGGATTATCTGACCGGTCGCTTTCTGGCTCCCATCTTATTGGCGCTAGATAAAGCCGAATGCGACAACCCACGAATGAAGTAGGACGATCCTTGCCATGGCCGCCATCGCCGTCCTCTGCAGGATCAAGAATTCAACAACATCTAGGCAAAAACTAGCTACATCCATGCAATGGCCGCAGTATTCCACCAAGAATCCTATCAAACCGGCGTAACTACCTGGGCCGACAGCTCTCCTCTTTGAGGGGAGATTCCAACAATGGAAAGATGAAAGGTAAAGCACACGAGGACCGGAAGGGTACCTAGTAAACGCCGATCTCGTAAAACAGCAACCCTAGATTTGTGTTGCTGTTATACGCGTATTCGCCAGCTGACCCAACGGATAATCCGTTTGAGGCTTTGGGCTGTTGCCCTGTCCTGATGATCCATTATCCACAGAAGGGGGGCGCCGAGTTGAGACTGATGGGCCACCGGTAGGATCTCTCGACCCGCTCTGATCCGAACCCCCGGGCTTAGAAGCCAAGTCGGTTCTTTCGCGCGGCCTACCGCTAGATACGACCCATACTACTGAGAAAAAGGTCAAGTTCGGCGGGAGCCGGGACGCAGACAATCTCCGCGGAGAGTCCCGGACTTAACACTCGAAGTTATGGAGTAGCGGGCGGCATGGCTATCAAGAATAGAATCCTTCTCAGGGGAAGCCTTGCAATCTCTCCCATGGCGAGCCTAGAGTGGATGACCAATCCTATTCCTAATGTCAGCAAGTCAGCGCTTAAAGAGGCGAAGCGTCAGGAGGAAGCTGGGCTGGGCCGCGAAAAGACCGACCAAGGGTTAGGGTTAAGTATCAAAACATCTCATACCCCCTTTTTCTAGGCTGGCCAGCTCCGAGGTCACCCCAAGGGCCATAACGCGATGGCTCGGAAGGGGCAGTTTCAGAAAGACACTAAGTAAAGGGCTAACCCCCCCCACGCTCCAGAGCTAGACCTTGAAGCTTATCAGTGGCTGACCCGAGGCCTCCCTCGCCAACCGGCACAGGTCTTGATGAAGGGAAAGGCAGTTTCAACCGACATTTCTTCTTTTTCCGATCTTATAAATCCAAAGTTCTTACGACCCTACCAATCCGCCATCCAATGGCGTATTTCGAATATCATTATCGACAATGACAGCCAACTTATAAGATCTAGCATCCTTCCCTCCTGGCCCCCATCACCACTTCATGATCCGTTCTCAACCTACCTCACCTGAATTGCAAGCTGGTATTGCCTTCTTTCCTTTGTTCTTTTGCTCGCTCTTTCCTATGTTAGCAACCCCCATACTACGCCAGCTTATTTATATATACATCCGCAACCATGGAAGCTCTCGCCCTCGCCTCCACCTTCGCCACCTTGCTCGGCTTTTCGATGCAGCTGTACGGCAATTGCCGGTACTACATCGACGCTGTTCGGGGTGATTGCCCCAACGACCTCAAGCTTATCCTCATCGAGACGGCGAGCTTGGAAGCAACCATAAAGTCGGTTGAATTAATCCTAACGCTTAGCGACAACAGGGCAGAGGATGAGCAACGGCTGAAACGCCAGATCGGCAAGACTCTGCAAGATTGCCAGGATTGTATGGAGCAGCTCTTGAAGCTGGTGCCCAAGCCCATGCTCAAAGATGGCGACGGCAAGATGACCAAGAGGGACAAGGCCAAGATCCTCCTCAATGCCCTCGCCTGGGGTACCGGCGGCAAGAAGGGGACGTGCGACATGCTGCTCAAGCACTTGAGGGCCCACAAGGCGACCCTCAGCCTCGGCCTCACCACCGAGCTGAGCCATGACGTCAAGAAGATCGGCAAGGATGTGTCTGAAGTCAAGACAACCATCAACACCATGCAGGCTAAGCTAGACAGTAAGTGACCACCAGCCTCGCAACCGATGCCCACTAACCATCCAATCTTTGCAGGAAACCAACGGGCCGATGTCTACGAGTGGCTCGAGCAAGTCAACCCTTCCAAGAACCACAACAGCGCTGGTCAAGCGCACGAGAGTGAGACAGGGCAGTGGCTGCTCCGGTCCAAGGAATTCAAAAACTGGATCGACTTGTCCGACGCGGCTAGAGCACGCTTCTTTTGGCTTCATGGCATCCCCGGCGCTGGTAAAACCGTCATGGCCTACACTATGATTCAACAAGTCCGCGCCCGCGCAAAGACAGACAAGAGCATCGGCTACGCCTACTATTACTGCTTCCATGGTCGCAACAAGGACGAAGCGATTCCATTTCTGAGGTGGATCATCTGCCAGTTCTGCCGCGAGGCTGACTTCATCCCCGTCATCCTCAACGAGTTGTTCCACGAAGGCTTGGAGCCCAGCATCCCGGACCTGCTCGACTGCCTCGAGGCCGTCCTGACACAGTTTCGGGTCGCTTATATCGTTCTCGACGCCGTCGACGAAAGCAGCCCCCGCAAGGATTTACTCAACATCCTCTGTAACCTAGGGTCTCACCAGCGTTTCGCCAAGATCCGTCTCGCCGTCACCAGCCGCGAGTACCAGGACGTCGAGGCAGCCTTCGGACCTCGGTCCGTCTCGGTATCCATGGACAACAAGGGCGTCCAGGAAGACATCAAGAAATACGTTGCCTCGGCACTCCGCGAGCCTCAGTACGAGGGATGGGGCCGCAAACTTCGCGACAAGGTTGCCGACACCGTGCCAGCTATGGCGCAGGGGATGTAAGTGATCCTGTACCAGGTGCATTGCATGCGTTGGAGGCTTGTTCATGCTAAGACAAAACCATTTAGGTTCCGATATGCGGCCTGTCAACTGGAGTATCTGGCCGAGTGTGGTAGCGCCAAAGAAGTCGAGACGGAGATCTTGCACCTGCCCCCGACCCTCAATGGGACGTACGAACGTATCCTGCGGAAGATTGATGCAAAGAATCGTGGATATGCCATCCGAGCCCTGGCTATGATTATGGCTTCCCAGGAACAGATCGGCGCGATATACTCCCCAACGCTTGTCACCGCCGTCGTTGGCGGCCCCGGCGTGAACACCTTTTACAACATCGACATGATGCGCCGCCACTGCATCTGCCTCATCAAAGTGCACCCGGACAAGACGGTCAACCTGGCCCACTACACGGTCCGCGAATTTTTGCAATCTCTCTATGTCGCCAAGTCCCGTGAGAGCCTGCGCGAATTCTCGCTCCCAGAAAGCAAGGTACACCAGATTTACTTCAACACCATTATGTCGGTGGCTGCTGAATTCTCCGGCCCTCCCAACATCCACAACATGCCTGAGGATCCCAACGGCGATCCCATCGACTTCAGACTATACTCGCTGCGCCGGGTCCGGATGGGTATGTTCTGGAACCGGGGGGAGCTTGCTTCTCCTGCCGAAAATAAAAAGCTGTTGATGAAGCTCTTGGACCCGTATCAGCCCTGCTATAACGGCTTGCAAGTCCTCGGCTCCGACGGTCATTCGGACGGGTCCAACCCGGCCATGTTTGAGTGGCTACCCAAGTTCAACCCCAGAGCCGACGCCGTGGAGAGGGACGCCGCGTATCTCACCATGCTGATCGGCTTCAACCAGCCCGACCTTGTGAAGGAGTTCCTCCGTGGCAAGCCGGAACGGGAGCAGACCGCCCTCTTCAGCACGAAGATGAGCGTCACCTTCCCCGTCGCGTGGGAATCCTTCCGTAAGCACGGCGCGTACGACCGCAAGCCGATCCCCGTGACGGTGATGGAATTCTACAACGAGGGCCACGATCGAGGATTCGAGACCGACGACGAAATGAACATTCTCCGTGGCGCACTAGGCTCGTACTTGGGAAAAGGGGCAGCCCCTTTAAAAAAGGGGCCGTCTTCAACCACGACTACCGCCCGGAAAGCCTCGCTCGGCAGTCAAACATCACAATCAACATCATCCAACAGATCCACCACTGGCCGGAGCACCCCCACCATAGCCAAGCTCCCGACCACCACCACCACCTCCTCCACCGGGAACAGCACCCCGCGCCTGAGCAGCGCCCGCTCACCGAGCGCGACCGCGACCTCGAGCGCCCCCAAGTCCCCACGAGCCACCAGCTCGACCACAACGACGACAACAACATCCAGCACATCCAGCACCACCGCCAGCAGCAGCGGCGGCGGCGGCGGCCCGACGCGCCTCAGCCCCCCGGCAGCCACGAGAACCACCCGGTCCAACAGCACGAGCAGCAACGGCAACGGCAACGGCAACGCGTCGACCAGCACCAGCAACAGCCGGACGACGCCGTCGACGGCTGGCCCAGCCCCAGGGGGCGCAGGGCCGCGGCGCCAGCGCCAGCAAGACGACGGCTGCGACCAAGGCGAATACGACGACCAGCACGACAGGCGGCGGCGGCGGTGGTGGCGGGCGCTCTGGTGCTAATAATACGGCTACGGGGGGTGGGCGCGGGGGTGGGAATGGGAAGGATGCGGTGGCTCGTTGATGATGACGGGGGTAGGGATGGAGGGATGGGGGTGGTTGGGAGGAAGGGGGCGAGTTGGAGTTTGTTTGGTGTATTTTTGAGAGGGTAGATTGCTAGCGGGGGATATTGAATTGTTTTGTTTACTTGGATTTGGATGATATTCGTGACCCCCAGTTCACCTTGGTGCAAAGGGGCCGTTGCTGTGGCTATGGCAACCATCAAACAACCTCAACGACATCAAGTTCAAAGTAGAAACAGGTCACAGCCCGAATCAAAACGATGTTGTCATCACAACAGAAAAGGATTAAGGCAACGTACCGGGGTTCTTCAAGATCCGATAACCATCACCACCAACAGTATAATTGCTCCTTTTCTTCTCCACAGTCTCACCACCGCCCTGCTTTTCACAGCTCCCTACCTAAACACGTGCTAAGTTATCCTGATCCGTTCCCACAGCTGACGATCTGCCCCAACCCAACCCCAACCCCTCTTCACGACGATCCCGAAAATCCCCCAACGGCGATTAACACCTCCAACCCTTAAGCAAACCCCAATGACGCACCATCTGAAAGGATCGCCCACCAAACCCTGAAGATCAAGCACCCTGATAAAATAAATGACGCCGAGGGGGCGTCAAAAACCCTGGAATGGCCTGGACCAGTCGCCAAGTGGGCGCATACACATGCAGGGTTGGGCGAGAGAGGATGGGATCGTCGGGGGTTGCAGGGCGGCGAAGTTTAGGTTTTGTGGGGAGCTGATGGTTGCATTATTAGGTGATGGTTGTTTACGCGGGAGGCCGAGAATGGTTGAATGGTTGGCGCTAAAGCAGTGAGGTAGGGGGCAATATGTTGCAAACACTGTCGAATTGGGTTGGTGTTGGGGCGATATCCAACGTCCGACCTTCTGAGCCGCCCTCGTATCTGGCGGGATATGCTCTACGATTTCTTTCTAGAAAGGCCAAGGAACTGCCATCTTGATAACAAATGAAGGTGCCATGGGCAATTGCCAGTGCCAGAACCTCGTGCATAGTTTCCATCCTTGATCATGCTCGGGGAGGCAGAGATGCGGTGTTCCGTGGGTTTCATACCATCCTTCTTAGTTTCATTGCCGTACATCGGTCTGAGGGGATGTCTAGACCGGTGCCATAACAATCAGGTGGTTATACGGCCTGGACCGGCGATGACACAGCCAAGAACAACTCGCCAAGGGTGGACAATCAACTGGTTTATGGGTTGCCAGTTACGTTACCCGTCAGTGGCGCGACGGGTTTTGAGACAACATGATGGTTCCGAGTCTGAAGCCCCCTAATACTTCACAGTTGCCTAAAAGCTCCTCATTTTGAACTACCTTAGCTACCGGTCTGGCTGCATTAACAGAACAAGAGAAGTTGTATCGTGGGATCCGTGATCGAAGCCTACCCAAATGACAGTTATTGGTTCTCTCGCATGGGTTCCTCTGTTGCTATGGAGGTAGGCGTAAGTAGATTCTTACTGTGCTGTTGATTAAATGTAAGTTTGTTCGAACATTCCCGTAACTATCTTGACATCGAGTCGTCATTCCTGTTACACCTTCACCTTGACTGCCCACCACCGGCATCATGAATTGAGGGCACTCATAGTAACAGGCACATCCACCCCTCTCGGTGTGCCACACAGGTGCCTCGCATCTATCGTTAGGTCTCGGCATAGAGGTTGGGCGGTCACCTCTCTCCACCACCCCGCCCACCACTCCGCCCAGTCAAGCAGGTGGTGGTGTGGCGAGCCAGATACCACTTGTCCGTCACTCTACCCAACTGCACAGTGCCCGGGTCAAAATCTGGCACATGCCCTCGCGGAGAAGTGAGGCGATGATGGCGAGATAAGCGAGAAGACCAAGAGAGGCGAGCGATAACCAAACGCCACACCGGTGTATCCGTGAGGGTGTGAATCAATATCAAGGGTTGGGGAAGTTGCACTGAATCTTCTAGACAGATCATCTCGGTCAACATCAATCATGCGAGTTTGACACCGGGAAAAGGGGCTCGCTGCCGGTGAGTCCAATTCTGGCCGAGCGCCGACGCCCTCGTTTCAGCCAGCAGTCCCCAAGAGCGCAATGCCGAAGGCCGCGCCCCGTACCCGAGGACAACCCACACGGCCCTTAATGATGGGAATCAAGACTCAACCCACCGGTCAGCGCTTGTGCTTCCCACCCAGACCGTCAACCGCGCCGGCCCGCCAACTGGCTCGATTCGAGGCTGGTCCCGGCCCCTCCTAGCAACCACTCGCCCCGTTACACCAGCAACCCCAAGGAAACCTCTAAAATATCTCCCATTGGCTCGGGCAGTATTCGCATAAGTTCCCTTTATCAACAACGGATGCTGTTAGAATAGCAACTGCGGAGAAGGTCAGCCCCGTGATTTCCCATCGCGTCACGATGTGCATTCCTTCATGCGGCTGCAAGAAGGGCGGCTCGGTTATCATCAGTAGAGGGGTAACACAGCTTCTCAACGGTCACGTCCTGGAGCTCGGGTCAAACACATGGTAGCTACAATGGTGGGATCGTTCGTTCTGCTTGCTCACGAGAGGGGGAAGGTGTGGATGCAAGCTTGTGGAGGCAAAGGCAAGCACCGTAGATCCCGATGCTCTGGGCGTTGGTTCGCGTCATGTCATGTTCCGACCCCTAAACCCCTGGATCTTGGTTGGTCCCACTCGTCATTCTGTGCTCGCGATGCTCGTCTGTAACTGCATTGCAGACCCAAAGGGTCCTGGCGTGGCTGCGCCGGGCCTTAGTGGGCAATGTCAGTGGATATTGGCGGCCGGTTCCCCGCCTCCGGGGGTGTGTCCCGGTGTGGGTGAGGTGCCGCCGGGGCAAACGCCGGTCAGGCTAGGGGGTTTAGTCTTCACCTTGGGAGACCAGTAGTATGCAGCAGACAGCAAACGCGGTCGAGGTGGGTGGGTACCCTCTTTCGCTGCCCGTAATTGTGAGATATGACGAGTGGAATCCCCGGCGGAGTCCTAGATTGCAGACATGCAGTGGCCAAACCAGAGGCGCGATATCGACTAGGTACACCTTAACGCCACACGGTGGAGGAGGGGTGTGCGGCGGCTGCGGCGCGAGGGTGTGGTGAGCAAAGGAGGAGGAGGGGGCTATTTTCTGTATCGTACACGGAGAGCACACCACAGCATCCGCCCGCGGTTACCGGCCGGTGGCCACCCGAAACGGCGGCCGGGACGATCCGTTTGACAGGTTTGCCCCGAGGACTCTCAAGACCCCTATCACCAACAACCAAGGGAGCCAGATGGCGAATTCTTGTGTCCGATGATCGAACGAACGACGAGAATTCTCGAAGCTGATCATCTCCGCCGTGCGACGCCGGGGGCGACAAGCACGAACGTCCGGGTTGGACAAACGCCACACGATTAGCATCCACACCTTCTTTGCACCTCAAGGTGGACGATGTATACACTGCACTTCACCGGCTGCAGACAGCAATGTACGACATGCCGCCCATCCTACCTTGGCAGCGCAACCGGTGAACCGCAAGGTCCACAACTCGAGCCACAGCCGAGACGCATGCGGCAAGCAATTCTAGCCGCGGGCAGCATGCCCCAGCGGGCCACAAACCGAGTGAACGGTCAGTGGTTCGAGGAGTGCATGTTTCAATGTCGGACGAGGTCGCGGATGCAATGTCAGTGGTGGATAACGACCGAGACAAGAAACACCTGCCCACCACCACCACTGCACACGGCTGCACAGCAATCTTGCAAGCACCCCGAGTCGCACACATGCCCGTTCCCTGTTCCGACGGCTCGATTGGCCCAAACGGGCAGCTTATGCAAGCAGGTCGCGGCGGCGGCGCTACTGCACGGCCAAGGCCGTTGAGGGCGGTCTCGTCCATGGCCGACCGGGAGAGGTGTGGTTGCCTTGCAGGACTCGTCTCATGTAGCTATCGCATTTCGGATGCCAATGATCGGCCATCGGATAGTTTTGTAAAATCCATCTCGGCCTGCATTGGGGGCATGCAGCTTCGTTAAAGCACGGCACCCTGTGAGGCAGGTTGTCGTTTCTCGAGAGGATGTTTGCATTTTGCAGATGCAAGTGCGCATGCGAAATTAGGTACCTCGTTACAGATCGCACCCAACAGGACCAGCATTGTTGTTGATTGCCACCCCTCCATGTCGTGATATTGCGGCGTAAGACGGGCAGGCAAGGAGGGGCAACCTTAGCTGGGAAGGTTGTGATAACAAGCGAAAACGGTGTTGCAGCCGCACAACCTTGAGATTGTTGATCGTCGCAGATATGAGATGATAGGGGGCTTTGGTTGCCGTGAAGGGCAATAGTATCCGATATCCGATCCGATAAGGACCGTGCCGACCTTGTCCTCCCCTCCCGCTATCGGGCCCGGAGCCGGAGGGAGGGGAGCTGTCAAAAGATCCAAGATCCATGGCGTGCGTGAGGTGACAGGGCGAGGGTGAGCGAGCCATTGACGAATCGTTGCCACCACCGAAAAACCCCCTCCTGTTCTCGCGGTTCAGCATTACCTAATCTCCGTGGCCAGCCCGGCCAGCCCCTGAACTTGTTTAGAAACCCCGCGTCGCCCCTGGGACCAGGCGGGGCTGGAATCTGGAATCCACTGCTGTGCATATCAGATCATGTCAAATCAGCTCATCTTGGCCAAGCAAGATGGAAGAGAAGGGAAAAAAAGGCGAGTGAGCAATGCTGGGCGTGTGAGTAATCGATAGTAATCGAATTTGCCATGCTGCTTGGCCAATGTCCGGCTCTTCGGCACCAGTCCAGGGGGCACCAGGGCTGAGCGAGCAGCCGGGGGGGGTCAAGCGCGGGCGGGTCCAGATCGCGACAGAGCTGCAAGTGGTGCGTCGGTTGCAACCTGCCATGCCGGGATCCATCAGCAGTGATACTGAGAAGCAAGGGAAGGTCGCAGGCGGATTCTGACGGGCAGGCATTAGTGTTGCTATCTTGGTGATCCCGCACGCAATTTGCAATTTACGCTTCGTATTGTTTCCCCTTCATGAAATCTCTGTTTTGGAGCCAAAAGTCGCCACCGCGAGTGTGCGTGGGATGGTACAGTAACCTTCCCCGAAGCGCCCACCGGCAGGCAAGCGAAGAATTTTCTTTGATCCAGGGGCACTGACTAGGTAATAACCCCTCTCCGCGTGGGCAGCGTGTGGCGTTCAAGATTAACCGTTTCTCTTAGACTTACCGCAAACGCTTGCTGCGGCATGAGCGAGCCTGTTGGTGTGCTTGGTCTTGGGATGCGGAGCTGGGCCTCGACAAATCAGGATGCATCCCCTTCCCCTGTTGAGGCATCCCAGGCAAGGCATCCCAGAGTTCTCGGCCAGGCGCTATCATTTGAACCACTCAGCTCTTCAGGCTGATGCAGCCCTCAAGGTGGACGCCCCCCACTGACAGGGCGGGGGTCGCGGCTCTGGCATCCCAGCCATCGATGGTGTGCACAAGCAGGCGGGGTGGACGCAATACGGAACCTCAAACAGACCTTTGTTGACCGTGGACGCATAATCCCGCGGAGTTCATTTTCCATGTGAGCGGGGAGAGCGCTGCGACTAGCGCGGTGTGGTGCAAGGCGCGCTGCGGTTTCATCGTCCGATGAGGGGTGCACGAATCCACCACCAGAGGCGATGATGGTGGGGCACTCCGACATGCCAACGACATTGTTGATATCGCAGGGCAACACAACCATTCTGACCCTGGATGGAGGGATTCAACCCTTATCTTCAAGGGCTTCAGTCTCACGGCTGTGATGCCGATCATGGTGAGACGGCGCTCACCCGATGGCGGAAATGCTGAATGCCCAACGCCGGGACGCGGCATCGAGGACAAGAAGCGGAATATAGCTCATCATCCGTCGTGCAACGTACCTCAACAGCAGCCACTTTGCGGGGTACGCTTAGAGCTCTAGATAACCGCACCATCACCCGCCGCTTCAAGTGCTTCACCGGTGATGCGGGCACGGCAGCGACGACACCGTCAGGGCCCATGAACGCGGCCTGGTGTAATAAAACTAAACACCACGGCTCCCTTCGCACCACAAAGCGAATGACCAGGAGCCGACGGCGGTATGAGTCCTTCGCCCTTCTCGAGCCGGAATCATTGGCTCCCTCGGGACGAATGCATCGCGGTAAATACGAGATGACTGCGGTTTAGAACCCTTTCGTGTTGCGCAGCCTTTGATCTTTGAACTCGTGGTTCTTCCGAGCAAGCCGGATTCTGTGAGCCTGTTATCGGGCAAAGTGGTAACGCGGGGACACGGTCATAGATAGCCTGGCGAGACACCGTGAGCTTCCGACGCAGACGCAGCTCTCGTGGTGGTGTGGCGGAAAGCTGGGTGGCAAGTGAAACCACCACCATGTCCATCTCCTGCCTGAGCGAGATAGTTTTCGGTTCATCCCTCTTGAGTCCGTTCCAGTCCAACGGTTCCGTATAATGGCGCCAGGACAGCCGGATAGTTGCAGAAACCTTCCCGATTCCGTGGACGGGCGCTGGCTGGCCGCGGTGCTACAGCCGGCCCGGGCCCGTCATGTCCCATGGGTATATCAGCCACTCAACTCGCCCAAGTTAGGCGCCGAAGCCGACGGACGATATCGGCGGTGGCAGTCGCACACCCGTACGAATACTTGGGGGACGCACTGGCTTAGTGTGGGTGGGTAGAAGCAGGACAGCGGCGGGCGCACTGGGTTGTTTGGGCCTGGGCCTTGTCGATCACCGCGGGGCTCTGCGCGAAGCAAGGGAGAGAGAATCTGTCAAAGATTAACCTTGGATCTTGACGAAGCTACTGCCGCAAGGATTGTGACTAAGGAGATGAGAATAACCTCACCGCTGTTTCTGGTGCGACTGGTTCTGCAGCAGCCAATCCCGCATCAATTCCGCAAACTCTGTGTTCAATTGGCCAATCGCTCGTGTCACCAAGATGAGGGGCAGAAGTTGAGAATGATGCAACTGCTCACCCCATTACCCCCCATTACCCCGCCGTGGGAGCAGCAAATAATAACATGGTGAGCGCACTCCTTCGTACTGCCCCCGAGACCAGCAATTGTTCGAACGGAAAATTCCTGGTCAATAAATTTCCCGAACCGCGCTTGCGGGGACCGTGAAGACAGGCTAATGGGGAGTTTGAGAGTTTGACAAAGGGTGCCGCTCGCAACAAGTTGCCCCGCGGACGACAACCGTACGTGGGGAGACACCACTTGATTGGGGGCAGATCACCTGCTCTGTGGCTGCTGCGACCGAACGCCCCTCACACGGTTGTGACTGTTCCAACCGTCAAACGGTTTACGCCACTCGGCATGGCCGCAGCTGAGCCAAGACCGTGGGACGACTTGCGAGGAGAAGGAAAAAACATTTTTGGCGAGATCTTCAGGGTGATGTTTTTGTGACTCAGCAATTGTGAGGATAAACTTTTCGAGCTGCGGCGACCCACGCGGGAGATCATCAAAAGCTTGCCGTCGCGGGGTCCAGACCTTCTCCATCTCCCGCTCGCTCGGACCACAAAGTGGCTTCTGCTTCTCGCGGCCGCCTCAACGCAGACACGATCAACACTGCAAGCCTACCTAGGGCTTAGGGAGTTTGCGGTGCTCGGAGCGCAATTATCGCAGATCTGGGCTACTTTTGTGCTTTGAGATCGAAGAAAAGTCTTCGACGGAGATAAGGCGTTGTTTCATTGGACATGGACGGTGAGGGCTGTCAGCACGCGTGGGAAACACTGTGCGCACTAATCTGATTCGCACCAGCCAGTCGGGTTGGGAGTAAGAACCCCCGTTGAGCCCAGGTATAAACTGCAACATATGGGGCGATTGTTTGTGTCTTGGGATGTGTAATAAGCTCAGATTCTCCGTATACATGCCTAAGCAATTAAGGCAATGTATTGCCAGAGCAGAGGTGCTTTGCTGCGCAGCAAACGATCTTGATCGTGAACCATGGAACGTAAAATGCATACAATGACGTCATAGCCTAATGCCAAGGAAATTTCCCACGACGGGCCTGGTTGTGCAGACATCGTCGTTTCTCGCGAGCCTCTGCGTGGGGCTTGTGTCTTCATTGCACGCCTCATTAAGCAACGGAAGCCACGGAGGTTGAGAATCAAGGCAGCTTGCTAGAACGGAGCCTTGCTGCATATGTGAGCTTACTTTAGTGTACTCTGTGTGTTACTTCGATGGAGCTCGGGCTTGTCGCGGTAACGGCGGTTTGCGGTCGACTCATGCCCTCCGTCAGATCCGGATAGCAGAACAAGCGACGGTAACTCGAGGTCCAGTCCAGCTGTTGCAACCGGGCGGAGCCGGTGTCCTGATTTGCGGCGACTTGCCCGCAGTAGGCGGGTTCTACGAGGTCGACTCGGTGTGTATATACCATGACCGTACTAAAGTAATGATGTTGCTGGATCGTAAGTGCAAGGCTAGTCAGGCATGTCACCAGTCCAAAGCATTGTAGCCCGGCCTGGTAGCTCAACCGGGTCAGCGACCCGAAGTTGTGAGGTCACTGGTAAAGCAATGCATGCCCTGCCTGCAGCAAGGCCTGGAGGGATTCTCAAACTCCCCGTCTCTCATTCCCGCCTGTGGGTTGGCTCCCTGGATCTTCAGGGGATGTTCGCGCTCGGGAATTCGGAGCACCCCAGCTTCACCTCCGTCCTCGCCGGCGTGAGTCGGCGCAAAGAATGCAGCGTTGGACGCGCCATGGTCGCTTTTGGTTGGGTCGAGTGGGGGTGTGCACCTCCATGACAGCACCACCATCGGTGTTCTGGCGCGTCATCGACACAGGAGGGTGACGGGGGTTGTCAGAAGCTGCTGCAGGTTGCTGCCGAGGGCAGGACAATGCATTGCAACTATCGTATCCCGGATATTATTGCATGCTGGCCGAAACACCCCAAAGGGGGTCAAGGGATAAAGGAACGCACCGTGTTCTCCCTTCATCGCATCAGCATCTTGGGATTCCCACACCACATCGAGAGACCATGTCTCGTTTCCCGTGAACAAGTTCCCGCAGCTAGCGATGGCAATTGCGCGAGCTTCCATGCGTTGACCACACCGTGATGGCCTTCATGAGACCCCCGGTTCTGTTTCGGCTTTCCCTGGACGCGGACATGTACCCCGGACTCGGTTTGATGGTTGACGACGATAATTATTCTGCTCAGAGCCAATTGCGTACTTTTGTATTCGTATTTCCTGTCGTGGTGATGCATGGTCGCCGCGGAAAAGAGCCTCCGGGCCAGGGCAGCCTTTGCGAGACACTTTCCTGATGCGACCTTTTTTCAGAAACGGGCCCGCTGTGCAGCACCCCCTGCTTGTCATCCATGGGATGCCGCCATGGCTGACCTGCTTGGCGCGACGTCTTCCGATGTCCGATGGGACCGCTTCCGACGAGCGAGGCCCGGATTGGCTGGGGCCACCTGCAGTCGATCGATCGAACAAAAGTCATCATCCACCACAGAATATCTGCCATGCGCGTTTAATAAAACATTATGCCAGCCGCCAGTGTGTTGGAACTGCTATCCTTCGAAAGTGCAGACAATGCAGGGCCATCGGACAGCATCAGCCGAGCCAAAAGACTCTTCAGATGTCGGCCTTTGGTTTTGAGAATCGTATGATGCAAATTCTGATTGAGAAGTCGTCATGGCCCGGGGACTGTACATTTCTTGAATGGACTGAATGGAGGTGGCTTTCAGGGCTGCATGATATTGCGTAATCCAGGGCGCGTCCGGCGCTACTGTATGAACTGATGTGAGCTAACAATGGATGGTTCCGTCCAGGCGGCGTGTTGTGTTGGATGACAGAATTCCGTGATATGTGGTCCATGGTGTGTCTCGCGCAACGGGTTCTCGGCACACAGTGTGATTGGCGACGGCCTGACACAGTCAGAGCACCGCTCATGGCGGTTGCCCTTGACGAGCCGTTGACAAGCACGCCAATCCCCACGTGGAGCAGGACCGGAGATAAGCCAAGTTGATTGGCCAATTGCGCGATAAGACGAGGCCAAGAAAAACGCAGATCTCTGATTTTCCGCATGCGGGCAATCAATGCTCGTTCTCTTCTCCAGGTGATACTGATGATAAGGGATAGTTCGCGCTGCTTGGGTACCGACAATGCGACTGAGGAATTTGTGCCCCGTTGCCTCTGGAGAAAGGCATTAGCCCTTTTCACCATCGCCTGGCCGCGAGCCCAGCGCCCCACGCACAAGGCAGGCATCGGCAGGCTGAAGCGTGGGGTTTATTTGTCTGCGAAAAATAACCCGAGGAAGGCTCACCGGCTCTTAATTCGTATCGGTATTCTTCCAAGACGGTAATTTACTTTTAACGCGGCTAGTTTCGTGGGGGTGCTGTCCCAACTCGACCAGGGTTTCGTGACGCCGCATTGTCATGGTTGAGAATACCTGAGAACCATGCAGCGGTCTCACTCCCACGGCGGTGGCTGTGATGGTCATGTGCTGTTGGGCGGATGAGATTGAAAAGCCTGAAACAATCCGCCAGTGTCAGTGAGAAGCCAACAAACCTGTGCCACGCCGATTTGGTCATGCGTTGCCGTGCCGCTTTTCAGAAACCGTCAAACGAGCGCTGAGAAGCCGACGAAACCACAGAGACGAACGGGTCCGGCTGAGAATTGCTTGCCCTGGCCCTTGAAAGCATCCCCCACCCCCAGTGCGATTTATTGGGGATCAACTTTGGTTGGGGACTGGTTTAGGAGGACTGGGATGCCGGCGGTGCAAAATCTGGGCTTGAATCTGGGGTGCTTGTTGCGCAAGCCCTTGTCAGCATGGCGAACATCCCGCGCTCGATGAACCGCAAAAACACGCAAAACCTTGTCTGCACGGTTGGAATGCCGTCTTGCCCATGTGAAAAGTGCTTCGTGTTTGTTTGTTCGCCGACATGGCCAGGGGTAAATGCTAGGGTATGGGAAAAACTAAGGGAGGCAAGAGGCTCAAAGAAACAGGACGCTTGCGAAATCCCACCGTGATATCCGTGCGCCAGAGGTTTCTCCCAACGCTCGAGCGAACTGGTCCAAGAAAAATACTGTGTAAAAAATTCCCAACACAGAAACAATCTTGGCAGACCAATAACATGCAGCGGTCTTGCGTCCTTGGCCTTTGGATTGGGGGCTTGTTCGATGGCACGGTCCAGGGGGCCGGGTCTTCATCCATGCAAGTCAGACCGACCCCGGCACACGACGCTAGCGGCACTTGTGGACCCGAAACGCGCCAGGAGCCGCCGGTTCTGGGCATCCAATCCCATCGACAAATCAATATCCCCCAGGAGATAACGGCGCAGGACTCGCGGCCGAGACTCCTTTAGCAACACCAGGGAGACGCGGTGACTTCGCTTTGAGTTGCACCAGGTAAAACCCTGTGTCCTGACCGGTGTGGAAAGCCCATGGGCAGCGTCGCGGGGGACCACGGCCGTGCGCTTCATGATCGCTGGTACCGGCTGCTGCCAGTGTCTCGACGCGGTGGGGATGCGCTTACACAGTCGCCCAGGCCACGAAGATCTTCATGTCAACAAGCATCCTCCGAGTTCAGGTTGGCGGCGTCGGGGAGCTGTGGCCAACTGCGCCTTCACATCTCCGGATCCGGGCCCGCGACGTGAGGGGAAACTGGAGACTCAAGGCGGGGTGAGCTGGTGTTGCAAGGAGGTTCCTTTGGCCGTTAAGCTTCGACTCGAAGATCGACATGGCGGCCGTTTAATGCGTCGGGTTCTCGAACGGCTGCTGGCGATGAATTTTGCGAGTCGCCTCACCACCAAGAACACCACGTCCCTGGAAGCGATGAGACCGGCGGGGCGGCGCATTGGGCTTGGGGGTTTTGTCTGGGGCGTTGAGTGGCCAATGCCAGGGCTTGGGGATTCAGCCAAGCAAGCTCCGCCAAAAATATTTTCCTGGGAAAAAAATGTTGTGGGTCGTAGGTACACAGTATTACTGTTTTGAAACCCGTGACAGTTGGATTGAAAGTTTCAACATCGTAACATTGAAGAGCAACGACGTATCAAAGTGATAAATGGTGCCGACCGTGGGTTTGAAGAGTCTGAAAAATGAGGGAGGATTTGGCCTAGCATCAATATTTTTTGGGATTCGGCTTCGACGGAAGTCAGAGCCGTCAAACCAGTGTTTTGTCTGCCAGCGGATAGCCCTATAGGCACCGAGACAACTTCTTCTCTCCGCGGTAAGGTAATAGGACGTTGAATCTTTGTGTACTTCGTGCAAATGTTTATTTTATCTGCAGTCCCTCTAACACTTATCGCCAACTACGCCTTGCCGCCCGGGCGCTTCCTTCACCCGTAGTTAAAGCTCGGATGCAACCTGCAGACGTCATTGATGGTGACGGTAATTATCAGTAATATTCAGCAACACAATTCGCATTCGGTATCCGGCTTTGCTCAACGCAGGCGCAAAAGATTGACTCGACTGCAATTATGTATCTTGGGTCCATAAGCGAAGCGGCTTGAATAAGAGTTTGAGTAAAGCCCGATAATTGATTGCGTGGTGTGATTCCTGTGTCTCGAGGTCCAGACTCTTCTTGCCTTGGTTTTTAAACCGAAAACTCGACGGCGGGTCCGCCGGATCCAGCCTCGAATCATGGCGCCACCAAGTTGTGCCCCCTGTCCGTACTTGGATCGGTGCAATCGGCATTGGGATGGGAATGTCGGCCGCCGGCTTCGCCGGGCACGTCAATGATGTCCCGTATTCTCCCCACGCTTGCGTCAATGTATGTGTGATCTGAGCGATAAAACGACAGCCGTCGTGGAAATTATCACCCCCAATATCAGGGCCGGCCGGCATCGGTGTTCGATCGGATCGAAGAGTGGGAGGCTTGGGATTTCGGATTCGGCGAGTCGCTCGCACAGTATGCAAACGTATGGGTACTCCCAAACAGGGGTATTGCGCCGCTCACAGAGAGCAGGAAGCGTAGCCTGGCTTGGCTGGCTGGTTGGCGGGGGCTTTCCTGGCCAGGCTCTGTCGCCTTGCCATCGGCCCCGCTCTCGCCAAAAAAAAAAAGCGAGGATGGAGCACAGTGCCCACCACACTAACCTTGCATGGTGCGGCTTGGTGCAGGACTACAGCCACCCCCCATGCATTGGAAACTTTCCAAGCTCGATGCTGACTCCTGCACCATTTCTATCGTTGCCTCCTTCCTTTCCGCTCTCTTGTCCTCTGGTTTCCACGGTCCCCATGGACCCAGTGTCCCTCCCTTTATTTTCGCCTGCAGCGTTGAACCATTGAACAGAGTTGTTGATCAACCTCGTTTGACTCGTTCATCCCCGCCACTGTGTTTGAAGCTGTCCCCAGAAGGTACGAGGGTACTTTCTCTGCAATTTTCGCCCCACACCCTTCCCAGTCCTCAAAACTGGCCGAGCCCCGCCGCTGTCGCTCCAACCCCGTTCCTCTCTCGCCGTCAAGCACCTAGTGTTTCGTTTCTCTCGACAAGCCTATCGAGGTTTTAACCTCGTCCAGGAACAGGCTGCTGACAGGTCACAGTCCAGGCCCGAGGACATCATCCGTCAGAGCGTCGCTGACATCGACCTCAAACTTCGCCGGAACCAGTTACCTTCGACCACCCCTCGGCCGCCATTCCAGCGACCAAACAGGGCGCATTAGCCAACGACCGCGGCCGGAACAAGTAACAGGGCCCAGTACCCTTCCCGGTCGATCCTTTCCAGGGCCAACGACACAGAAGACCGGCGTCCGACTTGTCGTCTCGCCCGTAACCTCGTCACTCACCGACGAGAACGGTCTACGACTCTTCCACGAACCGATACTCGGAATCGTTGCCAGGATCCGCAAGAGCTCAACTTGTTGCTGGAATATTGCCCAGTTAGCTCTTGTCACATCCTCGCCTGAACTCGGCGTTACACGGGTAAGTGTTGGTCATAGTACTGAGTAATAACACAATCCGGCTCCATTGTTGGCCACACGCAAAATTTCCCTCCCGCCCCTCTACAATTGCCTTTGGCAAACATCTTTCGCCCTAGCCGCTTTCTCCGCCCCCGAAACTTTGGAATCCTAAAGCTAACGAGTTGGGGTTTGCAGTCGTTCTGCTATCATTAACAGAGCATCGACGTTGCCATCCATGACCTGGGCTTGAGGAACACTAGGAACACTCGGTCCTACTTCACCCTCTCGACCCATCTACGTAGACTCGGCTCTGCTTGCGAAAACTAGGGCATTAAAAAGAAATGCCTTACACACCACCCTCCCAGCGGTCACCCGCTTCATCGGGACCCCCGTCACCGGACGGAAGCCGCCGCCCATCATTCCATCAACCACAAAATAGTAGTTCGCGACCCGCACTACCCCGTTCCGCATCGTACCTCACGAGGCATCGGCGCACTCCGTCGGCGACGCAATCTCGCGGGGGTCAGCCGTCGCCGGAGGCCACATCAGAAGACTTGAAGAGCATGGTGGCCAATAGCAGCGTCCGGCAGTCACCACCCCCAATGACCGGCGCCCGTGGGATGCCCAGCGGCGCGATAATGTCGCCTCCTGACTCAGCTAGTGACGACGATGACCCCCCGGACGTCCGCGGCCGGCAAATAGAGAACCTTAAGGAGCTTCACGATGCCGTCAGCCAAATTCCTCAACAAAGGACACAGCTGCCGACAAATAGTGCTGCAGCCGGTGAGGAGGCGCCTGATGCTGGAGACCTGCTCCTACTCCCCGCACAGGCGAGCGCTCTAGCTGAGGGCATGCATCACAGCTTCAGCACAGGATCGCTCGGGGAACTCAAGGGCAGAGGCAACCGGCGGTTCACTCACACAAGGTCGGCCACTGAGCCCCATATCTCAATCAGCAAGTCCGCCGCCAGTTCGGTCACCGGGTCTGAGGAGGAGTCTGACGAAGACGGACTTCGGAAACCCCAAATGGTGCGCAAGAAGTCTGGCGAACTCGTCCGGCCCGCTCTGCGCCCCGCGTCTCGGAGGCGACCTTCGAGTATGCCCGGCACCCCCACCTATTCGAAGGTGGTGCACTTTGACTCGCATCTCGAACACGTCCGGCATTTCCTCCAAGTTGACAGGCCGCTCGCCGTTAGTGCAGGTTCTTCGCCCGTCGATAACTACGAAAGCGACGTCGAATATCCCTTCTCGGGCGATGAGCGGTCGACCGCGCGGACCCCTCCATTTGAGTGGGAGATCATCATGACTAACTTCCCTGTCGAGACTCCAGTACGCAAGGCGCAGCCGGTTCGCCTAGAGAGGGTATGGCTATCAAATGATCAGAAGTCCCTCATTGGGTCGATCGCGGTCGCCAACCTGGCGTTTCAGAAGCTGGTGGCTTGTCGGTTCACTCTCGACTACTGGAAGACGACGTCGGAAATCGCGGCTGAGTATGTCTGCGAGGTCCGCGGTGTTGACACCTCGTACACACAGGACAGGTTTAACTTCACCATCAAGCTGTCCGATTTGGCCAACCTGGAAGCCAAGACCCTCTACTTCTGCATTCGTTACACGGTTAACGGACAGGAGCACTGGGACAACAACAACGGAACCAACTTCCAGGTTGACTTCCGGAAGAAGATGCTTCCGCAGAACGGCAAGAAGTCCTTCACTGGCACCGCTTCCCGTTCCTTCGGTGGGCTGCCCAAGAGCAATCGTCGGTCAGGGCAAAAGTCAAAGCAGGCAACTCTATCTTCTGATGAGTTTGGCGGGAACCAGAAGCCAAACTTTGACAAGTCGATCCACGACTACCTCGGAGAATCGGGCTCCACGGGGCTCCGGCTAAAGGGAGTAAAGAGCGCTGGTGACATTGCTAGCGACAACCTGTCCAACGGCTTGTCTGGGCCCAGCGGCCAATTTGCCCTGCGGTACGACTTCGGTAACTCCCTCAGCAGAGCTATCCAGAGCGCCAAGAACGATACCAATGGAAAGTCGGACGGCTTGTACATGAAGTCCAACAAGAAGAGCGGCTTTCCGATTGCCGTGAGGACTGGGGCCGAAAATATGACGACACGGCCGGTCGGCTCCAGGCCCGATTCGACAAGTGCTATACCCACGACCGCGTCTCCTGCAGATTCGCCGAGCACCGGTATATCATCCGCCTCGTACGAGGAAATCGTCAACAAGTGGTGCTTTGTAGGTTTCCCCGGATCACGCCTTGCTTTACGCCCGTCCACCGTCCAGGAACAGATGGGAGGCAAGCTTCACTCTGCTTCCCCTCATGCATCAAGCTAACCCGACGCTACAGTACGGTTCTAAGCCGAAAGTACCATCATCGCAAACGCAAACTGGCACACCAGAGAGCAGCACGGCAAGCTACGATGGAAGCCCAGTTCAAATGGGCAACTACCACCACTCGCACAGCGGCACGCAGCACCATTCGCTACACCCCCAAGACGTAGGCCCGTATTTCCCGCACCTACCGGGCCCAAGAACGATGGGAGCCTCCGCTGCTGAGCACCCTCAGGGGCAGACGCTGAGCCCACCGCCTGCCCAGGCTGCCGGTAAACCGGCGCGCCTACAGACTACTGCCGAGGACTTTGCCCATCTCGCCGGTACGTCGCCGCACGAATATCTATATCAACACCCGCATGACCGTTTCTCCTTCCGTGGGCCCGAAACTTATGCGTTGGCGGCGATTAGGGGTTGAACGTTGCGCACCACGGGCAGGTTAAGGTAGGCGTGATTCGTGAAGCGACACATCGGCGACACCGCTGTCTCTCGAGTATATCCGCCTTGGCGTACTTTCCGTTATCCACATCGGGCGAAACTCTTAATGCTTCTTCATTCCCGGTCTTTCGGGTCTTTCGGCTCTTTCCTTCAGGGACGACGCATGAAAACGGCGGTGTAAAATATCTCTTATCTGGGTCCCCCCGGCGCTCTGGGCTTTTTTTCCTTTTCAGTATTACGGCCTCTTTTACGTTTTTGTGGTCCGGCACATACGGTTTGGGACATCATGGGAAAAAGGCGTTTTGTTTTCGTTTATGCATAATGGGTTTCGGATTCTTTTACGGTCCTGGCTATTGTTTTGGTCAAGGTCCCAGGTGTTGGTTCAGCAAACATCAGTAGCGGGCGATGGCTTTGTGCAGCATCGTTTCCGCGGAGCCCGCTGGCGAAGGAAGTTACGTTGTACGGGGGGACGATGGACGACAGGTGACGAGGGTCGGGGCGTCTGGGGTTGAGGCCAAAGCAGGGATGAAAGGGGTAATCAACCTAGGAGGCGAGGAAGCTTGGGTCATGAGCCTCTATTCGTTATGCCACGATATGTCTAGCAACAGTACTACACGCATAGTTATGGCCAAGCCAAAATTCTCCCCTTGAACGAAATTTGCTGGTGAGATAGTTGCGATTGAATAGCTCCCAGCATGTTCTTGTGCCATCCATCTCATTCTCCCCGCCTGTATACATGTACTGACATACTGTGTACAACCCCCGGCCCCACAAATCTCCCTTCCCCCTCTCCCCTCAGATCCCCCCCAGGGCCCGAATTCAACTCAAACCCATCCCTCACTTGCACCGCGCCTGCGGCCAACCCGTGATCGGCTCGCAGGTATACGGCCCGCCGCACCACGACACCCAGCCTACGCTGTTTTGCTTGAAGCAGGTGTAGACCGAGTCGTAGATGTGGGAGGGGTCGGTCGGCTGGTTGTAGGTGCGCAGGATGTTGGCGAGGTCTTGTTCTGATGCGCCTGGGCGGTGGTTAGCGGGGAGTTGGGTGGTGGTGATGGTGGTTGGGTTTGTGTTGTGTTGTTGTTGGGGCTTGATGGGGTTTGTGGGGGTCGGTGGGGTGGAGTCGTTTCGAGGTGGGTTTGGTCGTCTGGGGTGCTTGCAGAGGTGGGTATGGGGATATGGGGATATGGGTATGGGGATAGAAATGGAGACTCATTGCTGCAGGATGGGGATCTGGGGTCTGGGGTGCAGAGTATGGGGTATGGGGTATGGGGTGTTGGCCCCGGGGAGGAGGAGGAGATTGTTTACCATATTGCTGGATCAGTTGGTAGCCGCAGATGTGAGCTGAGTATTCACACCACTGGATCTCGGCGAGGGAGAGAGGGGAGCAGGGGCAAGGCGGCCGCAAAGGAGGACGGCGAGGCGAGTCATGATGATGTGAGAGGGCGGTTAGGCTGGTTGGGAGACGGTTTCTGGGTTGTGTTTTGGGCCTGACGAGATTCTGGGACGATTTAGGCATACTGATTACTTATTTATATAAAGAATGCTGTGCAAGTCAACGAATGCTTCCGGCCTTGTGGTGAGCCTTGGTACTCTTCGTACTCAGTTCTCTAAACTCAGATCCTCGTGTCTCAGCTTACCGCCTAGGAAGGCTAACCCCATCTAGAAGGTTCAGCTGCTAGAAACGGAGTACTTCAAATAAAAAATAATTAGTTATAACTAGTAAGTTAATAGAAGAGAAAAAAGTAGATAAAAAGAGAGAAAAGATAAAAGAGAAAGAAAAACCAGCCATCCAAATCGGCTCCCTCGGCCGCCAACTTAAAGAGGGTAAATGCCGCAAATCCATTCACAAGAGAACTCAATTATCAGTCATCAGGAATCATCAAACGTGCATCTCCCGCATGGAACTTTCTCGGAACCAACATATGCAAAGTACGAAAAAGTCTAGATTCGAAGCACTTGACAAGCTAAGTACCCTTTGCTTTCTTACAAAATCCGCCTGGTAACAAACTATCTAGTCCGCCGGTGTATTAGGCAGCTCGAGAATACGGATATGGGCCCCTTCCATTGCGGGCACTCCCAGCGACTCAACGTTGGGTGACTCCGTTGCCTGAGCCTCCCCCACACTGTCCAGAGCAGCAACAAAGGCCGACAGGTCATTGCCATCAGACCCAAGCCTAATGGCAGCGTTGAGTCCAAAGTCTCGCGACCGGATATTGTCATATCCTCGGACATGGACCCCGATGACCTCAAGTCCGCCAGGCTCGCCAAACCACCGGAGCACAGGACCACCCGAGTTTCCTGTCTGTTTGTGAGCCCACAAATCCCCTACACAAGAAATGACAACCAATCATGAGAGGGTTGGCCATGGTCGTACTTACCAGGAGCTGTATCAGCACGATACGTTATTCCGGAGTGGTTGAAATCACGTTCCGTCAGGTTCCAAAAGCTCTCATACATGACTTCCCCTGCTGGCGCAGGTACCTGTTCAGGGATGTAGTCAGGCCTGCTAGCAGGGTAGCCGACTATGTAGATGCGGAAATTGCCCACGGTGGGCATCGGATTCGCCAGTGGAATTGGCATCGGATTATTGTCAAACGCCTGCTCAAGGCGAAGGACGGCAATGTCGTTTCTGGAGTGGTAACTTTCGTACCAGCGTTGATGGGTTAGAATCCAGTTGGCCCTTTGTAGCTGCACGTGCTCGCCCGCCCCGGGAAACCCGATGCCGTAGCCGAGATAGACGTCGACGTCGGTGGCCTGCACTCTACGCCCGTGCTCGTCCACGGTGTACATGCAGTGCCCTGTGGTAACGACTGTGCGCGCATCGTACAGCCACCCGGTAGCTACATACTCCGTCCGTTGGTTGCAAGGTTCGCCTTGAACTTGGCACTACATCACCAGCTTGCAGATACCTAGACGCCAGTATTAGCGACACCGAGTACTAAGAGTTCACGGGGGTCTGCTTTTGTGGTGGCCTCTTACCTCTATACTCCCTTCCCGGTCCGTAACGCTCAGGCTTGACTATTTCCTGTCTGTTGTTGCGATTCGCGCGGGCTTCGAGGTAGTCGTTCATAACCCGGTAAGGACGGGGCACCGCCGCACGATGCATGTAGGCACTGGGCACTGCGGCAGCCTCAGCGCTTCTTTGTCTGTCGTGGCTCGCGAGCTCTGTTTTCCAGACAGCAGCGGCAACTTGGGGCGCTAATTCAGGCCACGTTTGCGTCTGACGATGACACGAGATTCTCGATCGTCTCAAGGTGGGATCCGATGTCCGCCAGAAGGTTACTCGCCTCCTCGTCGCTCATAACCCATTCCACATCCGACCTCAGGAATTCGAACCCGACCCAGCCGGAATCTGTAAGATGTGCTTGGAAGGCCTCCAGAATTTCCTGTACACATTCGAGTATACGCTATCACAGCCACCACCTGTGTGAGACTTGCACCGCAATAGAGAGCGTAGCCGTTTCTGACTCCATGAAGAACCAAGGGACCGAGGAAGGAAAGAAGCGTGGTGAGGGGGGCGGAGGGAGGGGGATGCGGAATAGATCGGAACAGAGAGACAAGGGAGTGATTGGAAACACGTACCGCAGTCTCGACTTCGTCACTTTGAGAAGGCTGCGCACCCTGCATTGTATCGTGCACTCGACGATACTTGCTTTCGAAAGCATTCTCATCCCCCTGTCCCTGGCTCTGGCTCCTAGATTTCAGCTTAAGCATTCCGTCCGACAACTCCGCAAATTTCCTCTCAACGGCCGAGACGCGCCTCATATACTTGTCGTAGTCCTCACCGAACATAGCCTGGAGGTCTTCGGCGGTAATGTCCTGTACCGCCGCGGCACCCGCAACGGTTTGGGGTCGCGTCGCGAACAATACCTGCTGCAAGCTGAGGTACTGGCCGCAGAGGTCACAGAATTCCTGTAAAAGTGTGTCCCTCCTGGACTTTCCGACGGGTTCGCCATGACTGTTAATCAGAGTTACGACGGTAGTGTGCCGCCTGCAAGTGACCCAAAGAGCGAAAGTAGCGCAAGCAACAAGTGCCTGTTGGTGGGCGCGAGACCCGCCCTCGTTGCCTTCCTGGAACGACCGCAACAACACCATTGGACTGCTTGGTCCCATTCTCATGTATTTATACTTTGGCGATGAGGGCATCAGTCAGACCGCGATCTTAGCCCTATCTTACCCAATTCAAGCTCTAATAATAATACCATAGGAAGCCCCAACTAGACCCAGGTCGGCTCGGCCTACTAAGATGTCTATGAGCGCTATGGGACGAGGGTTGAGGTACTTGGGTAGGTGCCTAAACGACCTGGAACTGGGGAGTTGAACGAGATAAGTGTAATGCATCAAACACTTCAGACCACATACCTTGGTATCTCCCTACCCATGATTGATTGCTTGGCACCACCACCGCGCGTAGCGCGGCGGCCGCGACAGCCAATCGATACATTGGGACACCCCGCTGCCGTCGACCTGAGTCGACCACTACTGCAAACCCCGTTGGCCGGTTATCCCCAACCACGGTGGTTAACAGCCGTCAGGAGGCTCTATTGGAAGAAGACCAAATGGGATGGAAACTCATGGAACATGATGGACTGGAGACCACCGCTCGGGGGCCTCTGGCCACCCACGAAGACAAGGTTTTAGGTTACAAAGAGTCAAGGAAGGACATCCGAGGCCGGAGAATTGTTAGGTACCAACATTAAACAAGGTCAGAGCCCGTAGGGCCACTTGGAACTTGCACGCTTATCCGTGTAACTGCTACGGCCTGGCCTCGGTATACCCACCGGAGTAACTCTGGTGAAGATAGAACGTGGGGACTGGAAGGATCGCAAAGGCGGTGGGCCAGTGGGGGGAAGATGAGTCAATGAAGGTTGGCGGCTCTTGCGGCAATCAATACCTACACTGCCAAGGCGGTCGCATATTAAGGGGTTCCGAATAACAGATCTCAATGAACAGTGTTGCTAAGGTGAGGAACTAAAGGGTCCCTCACTTCAATCGTAAGTAGCTACGATTATGGTATTTGTAGTGCTGGAGGGGGTGCGGCTTTCTCTAGGCTGTGTCCTCCGTCCGCTACCACGTGCACCCTCCACGTGAATCGCAGGGCTAGCTCCGGCAGCCTCCCGATAGCAGGCAAGGAATGAACTGGGAAGAGGATTTAAGAGAACGGAAAAATATGATTCTTTTAAAACCAACCATCACACAGGACCTTAATTCCGAGGACCGAGCTACACCGCTGACCTACATGTACGCTGGCAGCCAAAATAACTACCTTATCCGACTTCCGATTAAGCGCATATTTCTCTCGATTGCAGACCGTCCTGGATCAGATGGCGGGTATCGCGAACCCACATCCCCCGGCGTTGGAGCTCCCTCGGGGTTCGAGATTCCTCAGGTTGGTGGAACGTGTTCAGTTCTTAGCGGAGCAAAGCCGGTATCAGGAAGCCGCTTGTTATTCGCTTGTGCGGGCGAAGCCGTTGATACACGATTTACGCCGATGAGCGGTTCAATATGGAAGACGGTTCGGAAATGAAGCCATTTGCATCATGATCCATTGATCGACGGCTTCTCAAGAAGACGTTTCTAATGGCTGAAGCTGCTGATAAAAGTGAATTATTAATGTCTGGCTTGACTAACTCAAGTCGTTCAACGACAGTTGTTTTAACTTGGCAATTCATCATATGAACCACCAGTTTTTCCAGCGGCTTACACTAAACAAGCTAGTATGTAATAGCTCATGTGCTACTTATTTGCTGAAGCTGCTTAAATTTGTGAGCCGGTTTTACCAGCGAGCCGTTCCTGGGCCACGAGCCTTTCCTGAGGCGCGAGCCGTTCCTGAGGCAGCCACCCACCAAATTGACTTAGCGAATTTGACGCGTCGGTACCACGCCATCCTTTCTCCCCGCTGTGCCGCCCGCCCGTCCCGTCTCTGCCGCTGCCCGTGGTGCCCGTCTCTGTAAGTCAGCCCCCTACTTTCAAGGTTGTGGTGAAGGCCATTACCCCTGGTTTCCAAGTGCCCTCGGTTCCATTCGCTGCAGTTCACCACGACTTGTGACATTCAATGCGCGAAGATGCCCGGGCATTCACGAGTCATTATGGCGCAGCCGATTGCGATGGGACAGTGTCTGGTACTTGCCCTTATTACCTGTTACCCCCGAGGAAGTTTGAGCTAAGTACATAGTTAGGTAGTTGACATATGCTGACGGGACTTTCGGACAGTATCTCTACCAATCCCGACTGCGTCGTGCCACCCCTCCAGGCCTACTTCAAGCCATGTATGCCCGTTCCATGCATCGTGCCACAACGGCTCAAAGCTGATAAGATGTTAGCCCGTACACTAACAGGCCTTCTCCACGCAAGAGGCCGGTATGTCCAGTTCTTTTGCTGGTCCCTGTATTTGCTTAAGGCTAATGGAACCCGTTAGCACTGACAACACAAACCTTACTTCACGCCAGGCAATATCTTGTACGGAGAAGAAGGGTAGAAGGCTGGCTTCAAGTTCTGTATTCGCTGCGTAGTCCTTATTACTATACTTTCGCCCCCCGGCGACCCCTCCTTTGTGAGTATACGATCATGGCGTTGGAGCTTGTGGGAGGATATGTAACTAACCTGGTATAGCATCATGTCTAATCTATGGGGGACCGAACTTGACGATAACCTCGTCGATCCCCTCCTGCGAGGCGTATGGCACATTGGACACTTGTGTTTTGCTGGCCAGTACGGGCTAACAGAGTGTTATGGAAGCCGGGCGCGGACGCCAACCCCAACCCCCCCCCAGCAGAGCACCAGTACCAGCACGGGTACCAGTACCAGTACCAGCACCAGTACCAGTACCAGCACCAGTACCAGCGCCAACGCCAACGCCAACGCCAACGCCACCAATCCTGTAAGGCTTCAAGTCTCGTCCTTCCTTTCCAAGTTGTGAATGAACCTAGCTGACAGTTGGACTACAAGCTACATGCAAAGAGTTCCTTGGTATAGTACACTGGCTGCTGTCCTCTGCCATTTGACTGACATCTGTTGTGGCAGACCGAGAGAGAGAAGACCCTTTGGGGCAAAACCTCGATGGACGTTCGCCGCGTTACCAAACGCCGCCGTAGACCCGAGCCCGAGCCAGAACAACCGGGTTCGAATGATGACGCAGTGGCGGCCGAGATGGCTAAGGACGACGCCAACGAGCGTAAGCTCACAGACGTGAGTTTGCGGCAAGTTTTCTTGTTCCACCAGCGCAAGCCGGAGAAGGACGAGGAGGTAATATACCCCTGTCTAGTTATTTGGTTGTTAGTTTCTAATTAATATGGCAATAGAACATTAAGAGTATTCACGGCGACGATGTGGACCCTTTCGGCTTGGAGTGGCAGGAGGCCCGTACGCGGTTCATGAACGACCAGAAAAACTGCAAGTTCCGCGTGCTCGAGCATATGGAGGCATGGATCTGTTGGCAATTGTATGGTGGCTAGCACTAATATATGACAGAAACTACTTACAACCCATGCCGAGCACCCTGAGTATACAAACATACTCAATGTGGAGCTGCCAGTCCCTCGGGACTACCTTAAGCGGATGACGGATGCGGCCTGGGCGGAGGAGAGCTTCTTTAAAGTGTGGACATATATGGAGGGGCGGCTGGACTTCAAGCGGTCTTCTAAACTGGGACAGTACTATATACGCAGTAAGTATCATTCGCATGCGGGTTAGGTTGTGCTAATGCGAGAGGGAAGCGATGTTCAAAGGCCTGGCCCTAGAGGTAGCAGAGTGGTATGTACTGTATACGCAGGATTGGTGAACTGGCTTTGGGACTGACTATTGGTGTTGGCGGGTAGGATGCGGGTCAAGAAGCAGGACGCGGACGCTGGTATTGCTCGCCGCGTTAAGTTGTTGTCGTACTACGACGACATGCCAAAGAAGTCGGGTATGTTATTATTTGTCTATGGGATTGCGATGCTTACTGACATCATTGTAATAGAGTATAGGAGTCTCAACGAGACTCACTTTGCGTGGGTCTTCGAGCGGCAGCGCCGCCAGAAGAAGCAGAAGAAGAACTCCTCTGCGACGACCAAGGCCAACCTCGGTAAGTAATCTCCCTCCCCCCCCCCCCCAAGCGTCTGGTATGAATGGCTTGGGTAGGATTGCTGATAGCTATATAACATGTAGAACGATTTGTGATTGACGAGGCGCCGCCGTCGGACAGGGAGGAGTAAGCGGTGGGGGGTTGTGTGGGCGTTTGGCGTGTGTTTTGCCTTTTCCTTCATTATTAGCATGATACCCATTTGCTTCAAGTTCAAATTGCTGTCAATCCAAAGCTTCAATGATCAAAATTGACAATTGTGTTGAAATGAAGTAGTCAAACGCCGTGGAAACAGTGGAAGCAGTTGCGATCGTGGTAATAGTAAGTTCAATTGAAGGTTGGTCGAAGGTTCAGGTTTTTGGTGTATATTGAAATAAGCCCCTTTTCGGCCTCACAACGTACCTTCCATGTTAATAGGCCCGGGCACAGGCACCTTCCAGTCAATAAGCCTTTACAACAACTGCAAGAATTTTCAACCACTCCACCTCCCGCCTCCCACCTCCCACTCTTTCTCGCAAGTCGCGTCGTTATCCCTCTCGTTGATGCCGTTTTTTAAGCTCAAGATGCCACGCGCTTTACAGCATCGTGCGAAGAAGGCGTTGATTCGCCGTCGACTGCAGAAGCGCGAAGCTGCAAAGCGCCAGCGCCTTGACTCGACCGACCGGGAACGTGGCTCTTCGCCTCAGCGTCCTCATCACAAAGAGCCGACCGATAGCGACGGCGATGGCGGCGATTGGGAACCGATCACATCTGCTACTGTAGGTTAGACCAACTACTCATGTACCAGATCACTAATCTGCTGCCTGTAGGATTTCGACGACTTCGAGCTTGCCCGAGCCTTGATCGATGTAGTGAACGAAGCAGACCACGTCGTCTATCCCAACCCCGAGACCGACGAGTATCAACTTGCAGACGACGGTCCGCTCCAGCAAGAGCTGCAGGAACTGGCCGAGTACCAGTATGCCGCTGATACCATCGAGAGCCACGACGATGAAGCGGAAGGCATCTCCGCCGCCAATGAACATGAAGAGGAGGTGCTAGATACCATCGCGGTTGCCGCACCCTGGGACACCACCGGTCAATACCAAACCTCCGAGCCCGAAGACCCGTTCGCAGCCTCGCAACCAGTTGAGCAACACCGTAAAGCACACGACCTGTCGGAGTTTGCCTTGGGTTTAGGCCTGTATTGCATCATTCACAGTGTATCCCGCAAGCAATACTCAACTCTCCTTCAACTTCTCAAACTGCTTGGTCATTCCGATAAGATCAGTCGGTTGCCCGATAGCCTTGACACTCTGAAGCGCCACGTCCGGGAATCGATACCGCGTATCGACATGCGTGTGGTCAAAGACCTGCCGCTGAACCCTAAGAAAGTTGTCGTCGTCCCGGATGTTGTCCGGCAATCATGTCGGGTGAAAGCCCTACACAGGACCTCTTCTTCTTGAACCCTGTGGACCTCCTTCGCCGCATTCTTAGCTCCCGCATCTCCAGCACATTACACTTCGGTATGGCTCAACTTGTGGATAACCCGTCGGAGGCGTGGCATTCGATGCAATGGGCCGGCTCGGTACGCACCACCAGCGGCGAATTCGCATACTATCCGCCCTTCCCTTCCATGGAACCCATCTTCCCTGGCGACATTATCGCATACCAATGCGCGTTCCCAGCCTGTACCGGCTGCCATGAAAAGGTCGCTACAAATGTCAGGGTCGCCACGAAAGTCCATCTCGGACAGATCCAGGCAATGTTCCGCGATCATCGCGATAGTTCCCGTCATCTCGGCAACTTCATCGGCGACCCCAGCACCGGGGCTGAGAAGAACACGAAAGGCGATGTTGTCCTGGTTATCTCACGGATATGTTCTGGCAAGTTCATCAACCGACAGTTCGTCCAGAAGGGCAAGGCGATCAAGATCAACCCAGCCGAAGATACACTAGATGACGACGAGCTGGTCCTTTGCATGAGCCCAATGGAGCTTATTTCACCAGCCATGGTCACCGGCCGTCGCGACAACATCCGCTTCGACTATGCGTTTGGCAGCAAAGTGCGGTTCCCGGGTGATCCAATCGCTAGACGTGAACAACCATTGATCACCCGCATATTCGACCGGGAGCATATGGCGCTGGTGCCACCCTGCCTAGTCTCTCTGGTCCCTGGTGCCCTCGAAGTCGATGAGCCGTTTGGCCGCGACTGGCTGGCCAAGACGTTCGCTCAAGGTGCAGAAGGTCGTGTCCGGTGTCTCCCGTGCCTGAACTTCAACGATGGCTTTGGCCTGTATCGCACTATGACCAAGTCCATCATGGGCTGCTATCTTCAGATCGCCGCTATGCCGAGAAGCGAACACACCCGCCAGATCAACGTCCTACCGGTTACACTGGGACCACATGGTGCCAATATGCACGATGTCATGAAGGCCTTGGCGCCGCTGAGAGCTCTCGACCGTGGTATTGCTGTCGATATCAACGGGGAGCGCACTATGCTGTGCGCATCCATCTTCGCCCTGACCGGCGACATGCCACAGCAACAACAGAACTTCAGGGTGTTCTGAGTGTCGCGGCCCAATCTTAGTTGCCGATCGTGTCTCGTCATTTCCAACAACCGTGATGACCTTCGACGTCGACGTGATAGGCAATGCCCGTGGCCATATGGAGATGGTTCGCTTTCGTCGTTGGATGGATGAGGAACTGCACCAAAAGTACAAGAAGGAGGCGTTTTCGACCAAGCACGGTATATCTCTTGAGGCGCCTGCAGTCATGTATGTCGCCCCAGCACTGGATCTTATCGGTGGTCGCCCCAGTGATGCCGCACATTCGGAGTTCAATGGTATCACCAAGATGATACACCAGCTTCTCCTTGACGCAGTGAGTACCCCCTTGATATAGCGACCAAAGCTGACATAGAGGTATAGGCTCTGAAGCCCGACAGCGTCGTTGCCTACACTAAAGCCTTGCGTCGAATACCGTTCCCACCCGGATGAGCTCGAATCCAATCCCCATACAATGTACTAAGGTACAGTTTGCAGGAGCATGCCCGTTGGTCTGTCTTGATGACCATAATCTCGCTATTATGGTTGAAGGAGTCTGACCTCAAGCGCCCTTTTGCCCGTGCAATGGAGGCAGTGTTTGATCAGTCCAAGCTGACAGCTAGCACTGCGTGTTCAATTGACGCAACTATAGCCACGAAGGTGGAAGGTAAGAGCCTTATCGACATTCTAACTATCACCTTGGCTGCGATCGTCAAGACAAACTCGGCCTTGTCAACCCCTGAGATGACTATAGAAGATCGCGACGACAAGGCGATGTTTGAGAGTATTCGCCTTAGCAGACGGTTATTTCAGCTAATGTGTGAAGCTGCAGCGCAGTCCACTGACCAATCGACCCGTGCTGCTCGTCGTCGTGGACGCGGTACTGCGGCAAACTCGCGCGCAGCTTCTGTGGCCCCCGCCGTGGCTGGCGGGATATCAACACCAGCAGCAGCAGCCGCCATGGCCAACACTATGGCTACGATGGAGATCGAGGAGGACGATGCTGTCGACAATGATGTCAACATCGACCAGCATACCGTCGCCCAAAAAGCCCACAAGTATCGACAGTGGAGCGCTCGCCCGAATGTGCATATCGGCCTGCACTACATCGACGTGTATCGCCGGTATGGATTGGTTTCGTTGTTGATGGTCTTGCCAGGAGAGATGAAGCATAAGTAAGTGGTATTGCCCTCGAGTGTTAAGCCACGACTGATGCGCTTGGTGGACAGGCTATGGAAGAACCTTGTGGTTACGATGAACCACCGCAACCCCCGAGAAGGACTGCCTGTCGTACGAGAATATGATGCAGACTGTGCGCCTTATCTTGCTGGATGGCTTCCAGGACGAGCCGGATATAACCAAGAAACTGAAGAATCTTGCAGCATCGGTACCGACGTTGTTCTCTTCATTGCTCCCGCACGACGAGCTTGCCCGAGATGATGCAGAGGACGAAGATGACCCGTCCATCACACTCAGGATCGTTACCGACGGGTCTCATCCAGCGGCGACTGTATTGATAGCGGTCAAAGCCAGGGTATACAAGGCGATGGGTTTCCCCACTCGCGAGGCTGAATTCCAGCCGGTCTTTGCTCGGCAGGTTCGGGATGCATACCGGGCTGACTATGGTAGGAACATCATCATGAGTACCAATTTACGGGTACGCTGGTGGAAAAAGGTCTCCTTCGCAGACAGGTATGTACACGACCGCCCCCTTCCCTACTACGGCGCATTAACGGATCATTTAGCAACAACCCGACTGGGGCTCGGCGTCTCGTTTATCAGCGAGGGCAGTACGTAGCTTTCCGGATAGCTGGCGACATCGGCCGGCTGGACCACATCATGACGCATGAACCCATTGCAGGTTAGTCCACATTTTACACGGGCCACGGGAGCGCCCTCTGTGCCATCTGCAATCACTGCTTATAGGCAGCCCCCCTTGTCTGGTGGAGTTGCGTACCAGGTATGACTTGCTAACAATGCCAATGATCTGCAGGCACAACTTATGTCTTCCTCATCGTTACTCCACTCCGCAAGATAGAGGCCTCGGAGCCTCTCACGGGCCTTCCCTTGATGCAGATTGCTCAGCCCGGCCAACATATCGGCATGGCACAGGAAGATGATCGCTGTTGCCAGCTGATTGTCGGTTTACCCGCTCTCCATCGCAGCCGGTTGTACATGGTGCCATTCACCACCGAGGCAGGAGAGGATGGTCGGCGCTTGGTGACCAACATCAACCATGACCTCACTGACGACACCCAGCTTCTCTGTGTCAATTGGCGAGTGCAGTTCACTTGATCACAACACAGCATATCCATAGTGCGGCACGCCGGCAATGGAGTATGGCACAAGGCAACTGGGTGGAGCCGGGGGCGAGCATGGATGCAGGTTGCAGTGGCTGTATGTAGCGATAAGGAGATTGGGAGAATACTGATTGCGATAAGTGGAGCTGGAGGCCGCAATTAAATGGGTCCGTGTATGTGGTCTGTGCATCGATTTGACCGGGCCCACTTCGGGCCCCTGAGCTTGGACCCGGCTCGCGTTACTGAGCGGCTCGTGGTTTGGAACGGCTCGCGGTTTACAAGCCATATACTAACCGCTAGGCAGCGGCTTGTTGCCAATTCAACAGCTTCTATAATTGAACCGCTTCATGCATATGAGCTATTCATTTCTCTGAGCGGTTCAATGGCTATGGAGCCGCTGATCAACGAAAGCGGCTGGTCGAAACCAAGCCGGGATATATTCGCACTTACCAACAAGCGGCTCAGAACCTCGAGCTGGATTTTAATGGTAAATCAACAGCTTATTGAACCCAGCATGAGACGGCTAAGTTGCTCAGCATGCCGCCATCGGGGGTTACCATCTGGTCCATCTCAGATGCCCGTTTATTTACCTAGGTACCTACCTACCTTACATACCTAGGTATGTACGTCAGGTTGCTGATTTTGGGCTCATGGCCCCAATAACCGCCGAAATCGGGCATCTAAATAACACCCAGACCTCCCGGACAGACCAGAGACGCCAACAGAGACACCGTGGTTCGAGGTTGGTGGTTTGCCAAGACCCTCCCCCTCGGTGCTTTCTGTCTGGTCAAACATGAGACATCCCAACAAGTTGTCGTGGACAAACCAACTGTGGGGCGTAGTTGGGTACCTGAACCTACGTACCGTCACATTCGAAATCCCGAATCTATGGAACGTGGCAGGCCACGGGAACTGCCGAAGCCAACAGCAAGCCGACATCTCAGCCACCATGCAGCAATAGCTTCTTTCAGCCGCACGACATGGCCGACGCAAGCCTAAATTGTTCTGGCCACGCCGAAACATTGCACGCGCTTCTTGTTTTCCAAGCAATTGGCGCCTCTAGCTGAGCTGGCAGTGCCCAAAGTGGCTTGGATTGTTTCGCTTTTGGCTGCCTCCGGTGAGCAGAGAGGGAGAGAGTGATAGGTAAATAAAAGCCATGTCTGCGGCCTGCCCAAGCAGCCCAGACCATGATTTTCCCCGCCCACTACCAAACCTCCTCTGAGAGCAGTTCAGCGGAAGCAATCACCATGGCGGCAACTCTCTTTGGCGCGCCGATTGCGGCTGTAGCGACACCAGTTTCGACCGTCTTCAACCCCCAGGGGCCGTTTCCACGATACGTCCGGCGGTTTGAGAATAGCACCCTCACAACGACAGCGCGAGGATCAGATTGCGCTGTACGCTCGAGCCCGTTTCAACAATCAGAACGCCACTAATGGCCTGTCGCAGAAGTTCAACGGCTTTAAGACATGCAGCTCAAATGGCGACTACGGTAGCTGCCTCTCCAGCAGCAAAGCGGCCTTTTGCAAGGGCCTTGCTAGGCGCGCACCCCCCAAAATTGCTGCGCGCGCACCCCCCGCCCAGAATTGCTAGGCGCGCACCCTGCAGGGTTAGGGTCAGAGGTTCAACCATCGCCAACCCGCAATCAACACAGGTAAGCTGCATAGCAAAAACATGTTTTCTACGGCTAATCTGACCGTTCTAGAATGCTAGGAACCCACCAGAATGTCGCAAAACCCTCGCGCGGTCGAGCCGCAGGTGCTCGAACAACCTGCACCAGCCCTGCCGCTCGCCACAGAGTTTTCGGCTGCAGGCGAGGATTCTGACGAATACGACGATATCGATCTTCTTATCCTCCAGCCAATCGACCTCACAGAATCGGAGACCCTACCTCACCACCTCGCCCAACGCAACACCACGCCCATCTCCATCAATTCGAGCGATTCAAGCGATCGAGGAGGCTATTCGGAACCTTCTTCACCAATTGCAAGCGCTATAAACCGCGCAGGCTTTGTTGAGCGGCCCCGTTTAGAACCAGGCGCGATTTCCAGCCAGTCAGAGTGGGACGGTTGCAGCCAGGGCTCGGCTTCGGAGTGGGGTGGGTTCACCGACCACGACGGGGATACGTCTGACGATGAAGACATTCCCAACCCCCCTAACGGTATATCAGCGCCTACTATTGAGGGCCTACAGAACGCCGTGAACGCCTGGGCAAAGACAAGAGGGTTCGCAGTTACCCGGCAACATGGGAAGAAGAACAAGCGAGGCGAATATGCTCGGTATTACCTTGTTTGTGACCGCTTTGGTCAGCCTAGGTTCGGTGAATCCGCTGGCCTACGTGAAACCGGCACCCGAAAGTGCGGCTGCACCTGGAAAGTCAGTTGCCAAGCTTACCCAAGACGGCTGGGTGGTTCCGGAATTCTGACGAGCCTCAACACCATAACCATGGACCTTCTTCTCATGCTTCCGCCCATCCTCAACACCGGAAGATCGCCGCTGAGGTTCTTGATACCATCGTCAACGCTTCAAAGCATCACGGAATCCGCTCCAAGGGAGATCGGGGCGCTCATCAGAGACGGCTTCCCCGATTCCAGCTACATCAGGAAAGACATCTACAATGCGAGGGCGAAGATCCGGAAGGAAAAGCTTGGTGGTTATACTCCTGCAGGTGCCCTGATCAAGTCGTTTGATGAGAACGGCATCAAATACCGTGTCAAGTGGGCTGACGAAGGATGAGACTGAGCTCCTGGCCTTGGTGTTTACTTTCAACGGCTTGATGGATATCACAAAGCAGTACTCAGACGTCATGCAGATCGATCTCACCTACAATACCAACTGCTTTGGTTATCCTCTGTACCAAGTGGCAGGGCTCACCGGCGCCAACACCATCTACAACTCCATCTTCGGCTTCATCGACAATGAGAGAAAGGAATCGTTCGATTGGCTTTGCCGGGGGACACATGAGCTGCGAGCTGAGTTCAGCGTTGAGCCCCCCATCGTCATCTTGACCGATCATTGCAAAGAGCTTAAGGCCGCCCTCCTGGAGGTATTCCCCGACTCGCAACAACAGATCTGCATCTATCACGTCATAAAGAACGTCCTCCTCAATGCCAAGAAGAAGTTCAAGAGGGTTGAAAGCCCTGATTTCCTTGACGAAGAGGCTTTTGAAGGTGATGAGGATGTTGGTGACGATGGGGGTAGTGCTGAGGTAGCCGCTAGGCTGAATGCCGAGGAGGCAACTGCCTTGGCACGGATCCGCTCCTTAGATGACCCTGGTGTTACCACTGAGTCTCGCGGCCCCTTTCCCCACGACCACAATGGTGTTGAGGCTTTGTTTAAAGTCATGGTCTATTCGGAAACAGAGGATCAATTTTATCAGGCCTAGAAGGCGTTGAAGGATGAGTTTTCTGATCAACCAAGTATCATGGGGTATATCCAGAAGCAATGGATGCCTTTGCGGCACCAGTGGGCGCAGTGCTACACCCGAACGTACCGAAACTACGGCGCAAGAGTGACGTCACCAACCGAGTCAAGCAATCTCAACATCAAGAGCTACCTCCTCGACGGTAGAAGCGACTGCGTCCGCCTTGTTGAGGGTATCAAGGAGATGGCTGACGAACAGCTTGAGCATCTCCAGCAAGTTCTTGGCCAACAGGGAATGAGTGTGAGAAAGAATTGGCTGTCACGGCGGTACCTTGGCTCTCTACCTAACAAGGTGACGTATAAAGCCTTGGAGTTGATCAACCGCGAGTATCGCTTTGCCAGGGCAGCGTTTCCTGGAAAGAAACAAAAGGCACGCCCTTTGCCAGCCTGCAACGAAAACAACTGTACGGCTACGCAGCAATACGGTATACCTTGCCGTCACAGCATTTACAACATCCTGGCGCAGTCACTCGTCAAACCAGATGCCAAGATCCGACTCTGGGACGTACACCATCACTGGCACCTCAAGAACAGGCTTGTAAGTATCCCCAATATCAATATAGTAGCATGGCTAACTGTAGAAGGACGAGGGGGACCCCTACCTCCGGAATTCGTGATCCCAGGGTTGCTACGAAGCGGAAGGGTAGACCGAGAAACGAGCCTGCCGCCGTGCCCCTAGATATGGCGATCATGTTTGTCAGGGGAGGTGTGGCTTCCACCCCTGCAGCTCCGACGAACTCCAGTACTCCGGCAACCCCCAGAAGGCTCCCCCCCACCGCCAGGGCTTCGAATCCATTGTCCCAGGCTCAGCCGACAACCCAGCGACGCAAGAGGACCCAGCCTAGGGCCCCCTAAGGGTACTGCGCCGCATCTGAAGCCCAGTATACGTCGTAGGCTGTCACAGGTGGAGTTGGTGAAGTCTCCAGAGGTTGATAGAGGGTTCGAGAGGTTCAAGATCAAAGCTGCAAAGCGCCCATCCTTGCTCACGGCGCCGAAGGCAACGAAAAGGGGTAGGGTTTCTGAGGTGGCTCCTGAGGCTGCGCCTCCGCGAAAACAAGCCTCAAAGCGCAACGCAGTGCTTTCTACGACCTCACAGTCAAGCGAACAGGTTCAGGCGGGCTCTGCAGCGCAAACCCAAGCCGTTCAGGACCCGTCTCCCCCCATGACGAGGACTCGGAGTGGCCGAGCGGTCAAACCATCGGCTAAATTACGTGGTGCGGCTCAGGAGGTCTAAATAGGGGTAGTTCTACGTAGTGTATGTAGTCTGAGCGAGTGGAATTGAGCTGTTTTGCGAGGGAGTCTTTCGCTTTTGGGGCAGAGTAATTCATTTGTTTTAGTTGCGACCATATAAACCCTAATCCTTTGGGCGGGGAGGGGGTGCACGCCTAGCAATTTCGGGCGGGGTGCGCGCGCAGCAATTTTGGGGGGTGCGCGCCTAGCAAGTCCCTTTTGCAATTGCAACAACGGGATACAGTACCTCGGCTGCGTCTCCGAGGCGATTGCTGCGTCGACTTGTGTTGGGGCCGTGGGCGTCCCCGACTGGGATGCCTACGAGCGTTCGTGGTTTCAGTCTTCGTGCCCAACACCCCCAAGCTCCGTCATGACCCAACTCCCCCAGCCGTACGTCTTCTCAAACATGGCTTGCTGAACCCAGAGACTAACCTAACCTAGCACATCGATCCAAGTCGACCTTCAGTAAGTATCACTCCACGAGCCAGCCCTGGTGGTATCGCTAACACGCGCAGAACCATCATTAGTATCATCCCCTCCGGGCCCATCTCTCAACCGCCCCGCCCCACCGCCACCGCCACCTACCGCGACGGCGGCGAGCTCCTTGCAGGCGACTGCCAGTCAACGTTCCTACACACTGCTGAATGGCGGCGACATGGTTCCTCTACGCCGGCCCTTAGTCGGGTGCAACAGCGACAGACCCCAATGCTGCCCCTGGAACGTCACGAGCGACGCTGCCCTGGACAGCCCTGGCTCCGGCGGCGAGGATAACCAGGCGGCCGCGATACGGGCAGGCGATTTCCCAGTCCCGGCCGGCAACATCAAGGACAGTCTTTCACGGTGCCCGCAGGACTACTACTCCGTCTCAGGACAATGCTGCCCCAAGTATGTTCCCCCCCCTCCACCCATACCACCACAAACTCCCTTCCCTCCCTCCCAACTAACCACCCACCCCAGCGGCTACTACAAATTCACGCGCGAAATCGCCTCCCGCACCCCCTGCATCAGCTCCCTCCGCGGCCGGGCCACCCCGCCACCCCTCACCGTCAGCCTAGCCGCCAACCCAACCGACACGACCCTACCCACATCAGCCGTCGTCAACCTCGCCTGGGCCATGGGCTTCAACGTCGACGGCGAGCCGGCCCCCGCGCTGTCGCGGGGCGCCGTCGTCGGCATCGGCATCGGGTCGGGTGTCGCGGCGGTGACGGTGATTTGCGGCGGTGGTGTGGTTTGTGCTAAGGTGGCGGCGGGGGAGGAGGGCGGCGGCGGGGGGGAAGGATGATGGGGGGGCGGGGCAGGGTATCACTTACACGCCGGGGTATCATGCGCCGCAGGATGGGGGGGCGGGGCCGGTGGAGGTGAAGCCGGGGGGTGTGGTTGCGGGGGCGGAGTGGGATGGGCGATATGGGTATCCGGTGCCGGTGCAGAGTGGGGGGTATCGGGCGTGATGGATGGTTGGGGAGGTGGTGTTGCGGGATGGAGTGCATGCACGGTCACATCATCAGGGTTGGATAAGGTTGGCGTTTAAGCAACCCATAGACATGTCTCAACGCGTCATAACTTTTGTAGGTATGTATGAGAGTAACGTGTTGGGATGTAGATACGGTCTCACTATCATTTTCTCGCCTGTTATCCGGCTTCGTCAGAGTAATCTGCACATTTCTCATCGAGGAGCTCGTGGTAATCAACCCTCACCATTGCTAGTCATAGGAATAATGTTATACTCAGACTCACAAAGAGGAAAGGTGAGGAGCGGCATGGGGCTGTTACAAA